CTGCTCCATCTCTATAAAACAGACCTAATTTTGATACCATAAATCACCTATATTGAAATTGAGACGTTTTAAAATAAGTCTTATTTTGGCTAAATCAATTCAACTGCAAAGTTTGTTTTTCTTAAAACGTTTCTCTTCAAATCGTGAAAGAGTTAATTGAAAAAGTAAACGTAACTCAAAGTTCCGTAAGCAGAAATGGGTTTTAAAAGAGGAGTTGTTTGGAAGACTTGTTTGAAACTTCCTCTTTTTTTACTAAATGGAACGGATTTATCCCCTTGCAACTATCCCCCTTTTGCAAAAGAGGAGGGGGATATTCATTACTAATTACACAATGAGCATATACTAAACCGTTGAATTATTTCATATTAGCGGTGGCAATTCGTTACTAGGTACCAAAGGGGGTGAAAGTTAGAGGGATCCAATTGAACTAAAGAGAATCTAGAAGTCAGTTCAATTTTTTTTTCAATAGGAAATTCAACTCACAGATTTCTCCGAACATCCAGTTGTTGTCGTTCATAGTGACATAAGTTCTGATCGGAATTCCGAAGGTGTAGAAAAAGTCCACGACTGACAGACACAACACATAGACGTCCATTCGGCGCCAGTTCTCGTGGGAAGTCGTGGACACCAGTCCCATTATGGATAAGTTTAGGGACAGGGAAATCGAGGTCAACAAAAGGTCAACGAACTTTTGAACTGTCATCAGGAAAGCATTGAAGAACTGATTGAAAGGTATCAATGTGCTTTAAGCCAAGTTATAAAAATGAAACTTGATGGACTTTATAACGAAAGTTTCCCAGTTTTTATGAATATTACCGAAATAAAATTGGAAACATATAATGCTAATCACGCAATGAAATTTAAAAAGAAACTGTCATAAATTTTTTTCCCTCATAATCGAAATGAAAATTCCTATTTTTCTTTTTGTTTCGGGATAAATATAGATTGGCTATGTAAAGAAGTAAGAATCCCAAAGTGATGGCGGCGATATTAACTTGCAGGATTGTCTCAGTAACTTTTTTTTGTAATTGGACAGCATATTTTTGACAATTGATGGATGATATATACCAGTCTTCAATCAGAAGACGAATAGTAAAAATAAATCGGTCTGCTTTTTGGTCATTTAGCGTTCTATTCTGAATTGAGTTTTAAAATGCTTTGTTAAAAGAATTGACAAATCAGAAAGTACCAAATATTTTTTTCTTGTAACACATTTTCACCTCATAACAGCATTTGTGGAATAAATACTCAAATTTTTAACCCTTTTTTGTTTTTCATTTTGCATATGTTGACATTACCATTATGAGATTACCGTCTTTATTAAAAAAGAAACTTGGAAAATTTAAAAATATTTTTAAATAAAAAAATCAATGCCTGATAAATATGTAATTTGAATTAAATGTAGTTTGACGATTCAGTTCATTTTTCAGGAAATGTCATCAAATACTTTCTAGTTCACGTCTTCATGAGTATGATCGCTTTTGTTCGGAATTGTTTGGAATTGATTTTTCTAAATAAAAAACAATTCCTGATTCGGTTGTCTGCTAAAAATGCAAACTCGCTGGTTTATACAACTCGAGCGGTTGTTTTGAAGTCGCCAGCGCACCTTTGAACTAATTGATACAGTTGTGTTGGATTTTGTTCAAATTTTCAACAAAATTAGCTCGTCTTGTCAAAAAACCTCCGATCAATTTTTGATGAGATCAAAAAACGGAGTCCTAATTTTGACATTGATCAAACATTGTGTGACAGTACAAACGATCAATTATTCACGCTCTTTGAAGCATATTCCGACCGTTAGAGATTCAAAACAGTTGGAAATCACGTACATATGAAAATTGAAATGGCATAAATTATAAATTGGTGTTAGACCGAAAATCAAACAGACGAAAATTAGTCTTATGTCTTATAATAATTAAAAAGGAGGCCTTTAATGGAAAATTTTAGTGCTGTTTGTGCATTTCAAATGGATCGGCTTCTTATTCTTGTTTTAACTTTTTCATTTAAAATAATTATTGCATATTAAAACTTTTAGCTGAGAAAAAAATCCGATTCTTTAGGCAGTTCAAATTGAAAAACAAGGTTCCAAAGTATTCTTACGTCACTGAGGTAAAAAAGAGATAAAAAGATCGATATATGTGTGAATTCTCAAGTTAATCGAAAGGTAAGAATATGGAATGCGGGTTTGGAAAAAACCCTTCAACGCCTTTGTTTAAATACTTGGACGGAATTATAACCCAAAGAACTTTGTTGCTCTCTATCAGATTTATCTCTCAAGTGTTCTCTTGTATCCAGATTTCGTCTTTTACATTGAATCTTTCTCAGAGTAAACATTGAGATTCTGAACTAGAAAAAAAACTATGAAGCTGAAAATTTGAAGCTGTTTGGAGCTGCTTAAAACAAAAACAACATTCCTTAAGACAAAATAAAACTTGATTACAATTTTTTGCAAAAATGAATTTTAAAAGTAACAGAAGCGAAAAACAAATTCGAAAATAGAAGTTTTTTTAATGAATTTTTTTGATGTTTTTTTTGAGTTTTTTATAGCAAAACAGCGCTAATTTAAACCGCGAAAAGATGTTTTCCTGGGTTAAAAAAATTCTCAGGCTTATAAATATGTTTCATCCCTAAAACGTTAGTTTCTCAAAATTATATTAAAAATCAAAAACTTACAACCGATTTTTCTCAGCACTGAGCAAACGTTTTGAATTTTTTCGTTTAACAACCTAAAAGTCTTCATTGTTTTATATCAATTATCGTATTCTGAAACCAATTTTTTGCTACCTGGTTTTGCAAGCTAAAGTGCCAAAAATGGGAAAAACAAACGAAAAACATCCAAAGACAAAGTTTCTCCCCACATTCAGTGTCAAACCGCAAACCGAAAACGTCAGTTTTCTTTCATCAAAGTAATAGTTTTTGAAAATTGATTTACTAATTTGTTTGGATAAAATTACATTTATAGAATATCAGGATAAAAAATCATCAATTTTAGGAAAAAGCAAACATTCGTAGGAAACAGAACAAGATTTTTTTAAATCTCCAAAGTACCGTTTTTTCTTCTGCGTAGTGTTTCTATAGAACTGTACAAACACGTCGAAATTTAGCAATTTAGGCAGAAAATACTACGATTTTCTTCAACAAATAAATGAAAAAAAAAAGATGAAAAAATTTTCTAAAATTATGTGGTAGAAAAATGAAAGAAAGAATCAACTTTCAATCTGTTTCAAAAATTTTTAACAGTCGCAATAACTACGGTTGCTTGTAAGAATATAAGCTGTGATTGCTATGCAAACTATGATAATTTATTTAAATCTTAATATAAATCAATTTTGAAAATGTTTTCAGTTTCAACACAATCTGCCTAGTAATTCTAAAATTAGATTTCCACAAGGCTTCTGTTTTGTTTAGACATCAACACTAAACCTGAATTTTGAATAAAAATGTACTACGACAATTTAAAACCATTTTTTTGAATAGTTATTTATCAAATGTGGATCAGTTACGGAGCTTTGCTGTTAATTTTTTAACACTTTTATTCGGATTGTGAGAAAAATTCTTGAACAGTACTGCAAATCTGAGCAAATTCAAATGACAACTTGCTATGTGATCCTACAAATAAATATATCAACCAAATCTCTATAAAATTAAAACAGCAACTTTTCCATGCTGTTTTTTGTTCCAAGCTCCAAGTTGTGAAAAAAGGAAAACTTTGAAGAAACTCCGTTTTCGTCGAACACCTTATTAGTTTCGTAATATACTTTGAATGGATTTAGTTCCAGGAAATACAAAACAAAACTCATATCAAATCAAAGCCTTGATTGTCCCGACTGCCCTTTAAATTCCAAAAATGAAAAGTTAATGACATTTGAAAAAAAAAATTAAGTTGATACATTACAGGTATATGTTTGCGGAATCCACTGAAAATTTGTTTCTGGAATCCACTTACATTTTGGAACATATTTTAAGACTTGTCTCTGGAATCCAGGAACATACAGACACAAAATTGTGCTCCTATCCAGTGCACAGTTTGGCCTCGTATTGTAATAAATTGAAAAAGATTATTTAGAGTTTTTCATGAAAATATAAAAAGTATATTGATATTTGAAAAGGAATATACGTTTGATGAAAAATGATGGTTTCAAACCGCAAAACTTTTGCAAAAATTGATGATTGATGACAGGTGAAATGTTTTTAAAGCTTAAGCCCAAAATTTTATTATCTTGCAGTTTAATTTCAGTTCAAAACTTCAAATTTTGAATTTTGTTTGAAGAAAAAAAAATTAAATCGAGCACAAGTATTCCATCATTTCTTCGAAATTCGGAACAAAAAACAGATTCAATTGTTTCGGGGTACTGAAGGGGTTCAAAACAATTTGGTCTCCGAGACCACTTTTTTCTTGCTTTTTAAGCCCTGGACATCAAAAAACTGGACAAATCAAACGCTTTATTTATATCAAATTGTCCATGCAAGCGTATTTTAAAACGCCATGCTTTTACAGAAAAAACATTCAGAGCTGAATTTTGCTATCAATTTTTTCTCGCTCAGATTAAGTGGAACGATATCAATCCGTCCAGATTTGATTTACAAAGTTTTAAGGTACCTGTAAAGTTCTAACTAATCAGAACTTTAAATTGACGAAATGAACCAAAAACTATTTCATTTTTATGCATTTTACTATTTAGAGTTTTTATAATTAGAATTTTAAGTTTGATCTGAAGAAAGTTATTTTTCTCTCTATGTTTTGGATTGCAAGTTATTAGAGATTTTGATCTGTCAGTTTAGTCAACTATGATTGAGTTTTATCTGCTTTGTTGAGCAAATGGCAAATCACAAAGAGCTGAAGACATAATGCATAAGGTTTGTTTTTCAACTGCCTGTTTGGGAGGTCTTTTAAACACTTTACACTCTGTCAACAATCTGAACATATTTTCATTTTAATTGATTGCCTACAAAATTCTAACTAATCAGAACATTAATTTTTGCGAAATGAACCGTAAACTATTTCATGTATTTTTTTTTGCATTTTACTTTTTAGAGTTTTTATAATTAGAATTTTAAGTTTTTGTACGAAAGTGAATCCGGGTGGTTGTACATAACATTTTAGAAGCATTTGTTAGTTGAATGGACCAATTCATTGTTGCCCATTTGCTTAACAGGGTTGCGTCGAAAAACTATTGTTTGAAACTGCGAATTCAGGAAAATATATCGCCATCAATTAACACATACCGGAATGCCCGGGGTTTGTATTCATATGAGAAAACCGATTATAAATTTAAATACTCGGTATAAACATTAGCTTGTTTGCAATTCTGCCAAGGCAAAATTAGCATGAAAATATATATTTTTAATGAGTTAAAAAAGAAATTAGTGTAAAAAGCCAACCCTTTTACAAATATTTGATATCAAAATCGGCCTTCCGGTATGGTTTTACACATCTTGACGTTTTGGTTTGCCCTAATTCACGACGATTTACCTTCAAAAATTTCCAGTGTTTGACTTTTTTTTTCGGAACAACGTTGTTATCAGTTTGAAAATCATAAAATGATGCATTCAATAATTGCCAGTCATAAACTGGTCCATTGGTCTTTTCCAATCAATACTAGTTTTAAAAAATGGCTCTCACAATATTTTTTTTAGCAGTTTTTCTTGATCCTATTTTTCGGCAGGTGTGGTTATTTTACCGTTTTTAAAACTTTGTGTTTCCTTTCTCAGTTTTTTAAAACTTAACTTAAAATGGTCTCTAGAAGTTATTTTATGAGAAATGTTTTCTTATATATTTTCCAAAAAGTTCAAAGGTTCTTATCTATATAATGAACAAAACAAGTTGAAACAACCCTAGCTGAAAACAAATTGCCAATCTTGTAAGATCTTGTAAGGTTCTTGCAAAATTATGGGAGAAAACTGCATTCTCTAGCAAGAATCTTGTAAGATTCTTGCAAGACCTTACAAAATACCCCAGCCACAACTAATTATTCTTGCAGGATTCTTACAAAATAACCCAGCCAACACGTATCAATCTAGTAGGAATCTCGTGGGATCTTGTAAGATTCTTGCAGGATTGATTAATTTTAAATGTGGGATCTTGTAGGATCTTCCAAGAAACTTGAAGAAAAAAAAATAGCGAAGGTTGTTTAGAAATATTTTTGACGATTTGCGAAGAAAATGGGCAAATTTATTTTCAAGATTTTTCAAGGTTTCAACATAATTTGCGAGCTTCTTTCTACTAAAAACAACTGGCTGCACGCAATAGATGGAAAAACGTTATGAGTATGTTTCCAGATAACAATTATACAAAAATTTGAATACTAAGTACGGAAGCCCAAATGAGAAAACTTTAAAAAAACTGTGTAGGATCGGTGATCCTAACCTTTTTTGCTGAACTCAGAATTCGATTGAGAGTTTTACCCTGAAAACGCATGTAGTCCTGTGTAGGGTAATGAAGAGTACTTAGCTGGGTATTGTCATGTCATTCTGATAAGTGGAAAGGCAAACAAAAGACCGATCTCAAATACATTTCGAATCTTAAGAAAACCATTCCTTCCTATGTCAGGAAACCCAAGTGAAATACGATTGGCAAACCCCCCACCCCAAAAGAAATTAGGGAAGCTAACTTTATTAGACTCGTAGGACGGATACTAAAGATCATTTGACTTAGGCATGCAAAAGTCTAGACCCTTCGGACCCCTCTGGGGTATCTGATAACTGTTCCCTGAAGTGCAAATAGCTCTTTTAGATTTCGACAACAGGGTTCGAATGACACTAAAGTTTAGTATGTCGCATACCTAGTTGAGGGAAGCTTAGCTCTGGATCCCCAGACACCCTAAACCCCTACTTCGGGTGTTATGCCCTAAGCAAATAGTCCCCACCCGGCCTTACTGAAAACGTTACTCGGCCCCGAAGAACGCAGGGAGCCAAATCTATCATAGGTAGCGGCAGGAATTATCATGTGTTCTAACTTGAGCCAAATCCAGTGGGTTGACGGGACATTACTATTAGCACATGGGAAAAACAACATTTAGACAAACACCCTTTAGAAAAGAAATAAGCAATATACGCAAAACAATGAGCGAGGGCATAATGATTTTATAGCGGCAATGAACACTAGACAGCAACCCCGAAAAAACAAAACCTGTGAATGAAACCCCCTCGTTTAAAACAAAATCGCAAAGAAAAACTCGGGATTAACACCAGAAATTGGAGTATTCCTCAGCCGCAACCCTTTGGAAATAAGAATCGGTCACCCAAATTATATTTGGGAGTGAACTTATTTCTTGGGAACTGAAGCAGAAGCTGAAAAGAATGTAGCCTTTACATTGTAATATTGAAGTTTTGAAACTAATCAAAGGACTTGGAAAATAATGGTATCAGCTTAGTTTGCAAGTGAGCTATTAATGGGAAATTCAATCAGACTGGTAGTCCTAGTGGAAATTGGCAGTAGTAGGGATATAGCATAAGAAGTAGGTCTCGTATGTAACATGAATGTACGACATATTTTGTATCTCCCTGGACGGCAATTTGACCCTTAATAAAAAATTACGCTCCCTAATAGCTAGAGGGTCGGGAATTGATTCGAATATAGATCCAAATTTTAGGTGTTTGGAATGAAATGAGTTAGCCACCCATTAAAAAAATATATTCCTAGCCCGGGGAGTTAAAACGTATGCATGATAAATGAACAAAAACCTTGACAGACTGGTTAATTAAACGTAGCCTGGTTTAAAAGTGAAATTGGATGTGATATTTTCACAACTTAATTGAACCTAAAATGAACTTGGAACTTAGGACTAGTGTCATCAGTGGCAAATTCAGTTAGAACCTTCCGCAAGAGGTAACAAACTAAGATTCAGGACAAGTAGGAACGATCATAACTGTAACTATAACTAAAACTCAAACAGACAAACATACCGAAAAGCTTACGGGGGATTGTGCTGTAAGAGCGAACGGTAGGTTTCAGTGAGTTTGAGAACAGTTCGACACTTTTGAGGAGAGATACTCTCCAAAGTGAGTGTGAGTACTTTATGTTAGCGATTTCTAAAGAGCGAGAGTTGGTTGATTGAGCTACCGAGGATAGCAAGAGTGCTAATAGTTGGTTAGTGTTAACGAAAAGTTAAATTGCAGTTAGGCATTTGTGCTGATAAATCGCGGACCTTTTCTTTCGATTAGGTTATTAGATTATATTCTGGTCACTTAGATCCTTCTGCATATGAGTTTACAGTTTCTGAAAATAATTACCATTAGAAACGCTTGCGATCGTATCGAGTAGACGAGACAGCCCTAAGATCAGTACAGAAAAGTGGAGCAAGTAACACAATACAGTACAGAAAAGCCACCAACTTAACCCCTTCGGGATGGTAGATAGTAATGAATCTCGGTCGCCGCACTGAACTCACTGACCAAGGGAACATTTCGTTTAAAAGAGAGAGAGAGAGAGAGAGAGAAAGAGAGAGAACCTAGAGAAGCAATCCCCTAAATCTACAGTTTGAGTTTGACAGATTACTGCTCTGATTAGGTCTAATAACTGCAAATGAGTCGCGAATAAAATTGTCGTTTACTTTTTTTGAATAAATTTAAAATGAATGAAAATTTGAATGAATGAAATTTGTCGTTAAATTTATCAATACTAGTTCAAATAAGTTACAGCGCTGCGCGAATATTCAGGGAATTGTCTTGATTTGTTGATTTAAACAGGTGGTGGGGGAGGGAAGGGGGTTTAGGAGCTGCCTTAGCTAGTTATGCTATCAACTTAATTTGATCCAGCAAAGTTCTACGTTGCAGATGATTGACAGTTGATTATCATAAACGGAGGTCCAGCTGATTGTTGAGCTATTTTCGGTAAAGCTGCTTGCTCTAACTTCCTAAGTTTATATTTTCCAGCAAGTTGGTGTCTTATTCAATAAAGTGTGATCGCGTTGTTTAATCTTCTTTGATTTGAGTGTCAGAAAAGATAAGCGGATCCATAATAACCAAAGCGGGCAATAACAGAAAGGATCCTCCGATATGCCGTAAAATATATTGTATTCTATTGTAAATCTCTCGTGACTGTCTGTGGAATCGTTTGTTACTCTGTTTCTGATAGGCGGCTGAGCCAAACTTCTTTTTTCTGTATCTACTTTGTACAGGACATGGTTATCGTTGATTTGGTCAACCAATTCAAAGAGAAAAAGGACAAAAAAGCAAAAAAAAAAATGGTTATATCTAAACGTTGCTGAAACTAATTAATTTTAAGATTATTGTTTCACTTCCATGTTTTGTCAGTGTGTTACTATTGAGCTATCAAAAATAGGTTTTTACAAAGATATCTAGTATCACCTGACGAGTTTTGCTGAAAAAGGAAAGCTGAATAAAGAAGAAGTTAACCATGAAGTAAAAAAAGCGAAATCTAAACTTGAATATTGTTAGCTATTAGAGCTCCTTCTCCTCCGAAACAACCACTCTCACAACAAAACAAGAATTTTATGTTACTATGGGCTCCAGCGGATCTGGGGGGGGGGGTTGTGGGGCAGACGCTTGCTTTTAGGGATTCGACCCTCTCAGGGATTCGAATTTTTTTTTGCTAACTGACCCAAAAATTTTTCTAAATGCGCCTTTGACGCCAAATTATACAGATTTTGAGGGCGGAGCAACACTTTTTGGCCTGTGTTTTCAAAAAATTGCAGAAAATTTGGTCAAATTGGGGTCTTTATAGTGATTTGGGAGAGCTCAGAAAATCAAATAGGTGTCGACCTAAAAAAGGCGAACTAAGAAAACCTCGACCTAAGAAAACCCTAGATCCGCCCCCTCGAGAAAATCTACCCCGGATTATAGAACTATAATGGGAAAAAGGGGAGGCAATAGTTTACAACGCAGGTTTGAACAAGAATCCAAGAATTAACAAGGAAAAAAGCAGGTATTGGAAAATCATTACTTCAGAGAACACCAAGTTTGCTGAAAAATTTTCTGGCATAAAGAATGTTTGACATAAAAGTTTTTGCTAGCAAAACGAGCTCTCATCCTTGCTAGTAGTAACTAGTGCACTTTTAGACCGAGTTAATTCCCTCTTTCTTGAAATAGAACTGGTTTTAAGATGTGACAGGCGACAATTTGGATTAAATTGGAACTAGGTAGAACTCCTATTTTTAACCTGCTCTAATTTTAGTTAACATCCTCTCCCTCAAAAATTGAAAGGAAAGGATGCTTAATTGATCAGCTCTTTGAAAATTTATCGAGAGCTACTCTTGTGCCGCTGATGAACAACTACGAAATAGTTTGTGTTCTTAATTTGATTATTAATGTTCAAAATGCAGCGATTTTGAATAATAAAACTGTACATTTGAGGATTTTCGAAGATGATTTTAAATTAACTCTAGTACCAGCATTGTTACGACTTTCGTAACGAAAGTAACGGAATATTTGTGCTCGTGGTGGGTTTTTTTTCTTCAGACAAATCTCAACTTTTTAACTAGCCATTTTTGACGGAATTTTTTATATCATTCGAAAGTTATTGTTGTCCTGAGCTTAAATTTGAAAAGATATTTCACCTGTGATCATTTTTTGTAAAGTTATGGGTTTTAAAGATTGCCATTTTGGCCAATTTGGCATAATTAACGGGCGATATATTTCGCGCTATTAACGCGTAAGCGAAGATTTATTCCGTCATAAAATTTGTTCCAAATTGGCTGAAGGAACTTTATTTGGCATAATTGATTTGTTGCTAGGAGCAAAACCTATCACTTTGTGCTTTATATGGCGTGTGGGGTGATAATTTTCGCAAAAATCTCAAATTAAAAAAAAATGTATTTTACTTTTTTAAATCATTTTTCATGTTATTTCCGCTCCAGGGACCTTAAAAGGCAGTCGGAACATTCAGGGTTTCGCTTTGATACGAGCAGTCTTGTTCATATGATGTTTGCCATAAGGGCAATATCTCTTCGTCAGCAAAAATGAATCTTTTTTGCAGCCTAATAAGCCAGAATTTTGGATTTTTTATCAGGCTCATTGATTTTTAATTTAGAAAATGTCCAAATGATTGTTAAAAAGTTTGGCATGTGAATTGTACATGTGAATCATAGCGTGAAATGTAAATTGATAATTGTAAAAGTTAATAACAAAGTTAGAAGACACCATCGAACAAACTCTTCCTTTGTTCATTTGAGTAAAAAAAATAGAATGAGTCTCAAATATATGCTATTTAAAAATAACCACTGCGGCACTTAAGGAAATCAATAAGACCTCTCTAGAAAAGAATTCGAGCACAGGAAACAATTTTAATCGAATATGGGTATTTTTACCTCAGAAAGAAGGCTTTTTGTTATGGTTTTCCTCAAGAGGCTGGATTGGGGCGGTTTGTGTTTTGTTTATTAGCGGTCGTCATCCTCGGGCTTTTTTAAAATACAGATTTGCTAGTGGATGATACTGACTGGATGATAAAAAAAATCTGGATGTTTTCTAGCACCTGATTTGAATTGAAAAAAGCAGTTTTAAATTTTTCCAAAAAGTTCTAACTACTGCGTTCCAAAAGAAACTGAAATAAAAATTCCGATATTCTATCAAGTTTTTCTATCCTCGACTCAAACTTCAAATTTTTAACAACAAAAGATTAATTTTTGAAATATTGTAGTTTTTTTGTTGAAACAACAATTCAGTTTGCTATGTATCAATGGATAAAAAAAATTAAGATAAAAATAGTTGGAGGCTTGTTAAAAAAGATAGCTAGTTGCTCTGTGGAAAGTTCGACAACAATGGTTGAACTTAAAAAATAAAAAGATTAATTCTATAACTTCAATTTAAATTTATACACCCAATTTCAATTTTTTTGGTTTTTATCTTTTAAAATCGTTTTCTTGCATTTTTGTGTTAATCGCTTTTAACCTGTTTAAAATCTGTAACAAACTTTTTGGACAAAGTTTTTAGTTTTAAAATAATTTTTACCTTGAGACAGTGAAATAGAGTTGAACTGTCAAAAGAGCAAACCAAAATGATTGCGCTTTTCCAGAAGTCAGTTTTTTCGAATAAGTTTAAGCCCTTAACTTTAAAGCAATTTTTTTACGCAGTGATATGACATGCAAGTTTTCAAAAGAACAGAACACAGAAAATGCCTAAAAAAGCGTACACAAAACTTCAAATAACTATTTCTAATAAGTTGCAGATTCAAATCAGATAAATTCAAAAGTTTAAAAAGTTGTCCGATAAAATTGTTAAAAACTAAAACTGAATTAGTTTTAAATGACTCTCATCGAATCTTTGGTAATTTTGTGTCATTAAATATGAAAAACGGAAAACTGCAAACCAACGAAAAAAACTAAAAACGTACAAAAAAAAACGTTTTTTCTACACTTTTGACGCATACAAATATACTGTCTGGATTAGCCGATACGTCGGTAACTAATTTTAGTTTTCCTTCAAAACTGTTTTTCCTAAACATATTTGTTGCTTTTTATTGATACTCTATCAGCTTTTTGCAATAATTGTCGCAATTTTGTTGCAAGATTCCAATTTCTGCGAGTTCCTAAAAAATTAAATTATGCTCATTACAAGGCCAAACTGTGTATTTTGTGAATTTTAAGCCGATTCTGCAACAAGGATGATCTCTTTTATCTTCTTTTGTTTCGTTTTTTTTATCGTCCCGAGAAAAATTGTATGTTCAAAGACTTGTCTCTGGATTCCAGAGACATACAAACACCAAATTGGGAGTCCATCCAGTGCACAATTTGGTCTCGTAATGGTCTGAATAAATATTACAAGTGATTCTACCTCTAACTAAAGACTTGTGACTTTTATTGTGACTCGAAACGTTTTTCTGTTTTTTTTTTAATTTAAAATTTAATTGAAATTGCTGTAGTACGAAAAACCTTTTTGGACATATATACTGTTATTTGTAGAGTAATGTAAAACTTGCAATTCATTCTGAAGTTCCTTGACAATTAGCATCATTTTCAACATTTCACTACTACTACAAAACTGCGCTCAAGCACTTAAGAAATTCAATTAGACCTCACAAGTATTCAATTAGACTTCAACTCGTCCGCAATTTTATATTTGGTACAGTTGATGTTTGTATTGTTTTTCTATGCTTTTCGCTGGCTTTATTTATTTTAGGACAAGATTTGAAAAAAAAATGCATGAGGTTTCTTCTGGGGAGTTTCTTTTGCTTCACATATGACTGCGATTAACTAGGAGCATGTGACGCGTTTTTTTATCTTTTGTAACTAGAATTGATAAAATGTTATGCCTGAGGATTCTTATGGACAGTTATTGGACTTCACGGATGAATTCGATTTTCAGTCGGGAGGCTGATTTTTCTTCATACATATGTTTTTGCACGCTGATTTTGTTGAAAATGGAGTGTCTTGCTTGCGGAAAATCAAATTTCATAAAATCTGAAAATTGACACGCACGTTTTTTTTAAAACACCGTTAA